TTTTTTTTGGTTCCAGTACGAAACGACGTCGTTTTTGTCTTAAGACAAAACGACGTCGTTTTGTTTAAGTTCAAATAAAAAAAAAAGAAAGGAAAATATAATGTATACAGTACACAACAAAAAAGACTACAGAGCTTCAAAAAGTTCAAAAAACTTGGACAGCACAACTCGCCATTCTCGACCTTCCTCGACGGCTCGACGCGCCGCCGACTGACTCGCCGCCGACCTGACTCACCGCCGGACAGCCATCGACGTGGACTCTCGACCCTCCATCAGGTATTTTCAAATTTCTTTTTATATGGAATTTGGGATATTTGACTTGGTTTGTAATGTAAACTTGTAATTAGGTTTTGATAATTTTTGAGTTTCATGAAATTTATTGGAATCTTTATATGTGAAGTTGATGAAATTTGGTATTGGTTGGTTAGCTATAATATCATTGTGGTGTGTAATGGTTAAACCATAAAGACGTAGACAATGTGTTTGATGAAATTCCAAAGAGATAACTTAGTAAAAGTTCAAGTACGTAACATTCGAAAATTAAAAAAAAATATATTATACATTCATGTATATTGTGTTTTTTTTTTTGCAATAATGTTGATGTATTATTCATGATTTTTTTGTTAGGTTTTAATTTTTATCAATGGCTAGTAGTTCGGCATCAAAAAGTACTCCGTGTGATTCCCGGACATCCATCGAGGCCGAGAATGATTCCCAAGTATTTAAAAGAAAGTCGGATGACATAGGTTGGAACTATGGTGTTCTAGCCGATCCATATAACAAAGATAGAGTGAAATGCGTGTTATGTAGTAAAGTTATGTCGGGTGGTATACGTAGATTGAAAGAGCATATTGGTCAAATTTTCGGGAATGTTGTTTCATGTAAAAAAGCAACAAAAGAAGATCAAGCTAAATGTAGAAATGCCATCAATGAGTCCAAAGCCAAGAAGATGAAGACAAAAGAAGTTCAAGAAGAGTTGCTATCTTCGGTTAACATTAAAGGGTTGAATGTTGAGTCCTCTCAACAATGCGAAAAAGCAAAAGAATCTCACTCTCTTGGCCCAATGGATAGATTTGCTACAACAATCAACCCGGAAGCATCATTGAACGTGGCAAAGACGATGCGGGAACAAAACATTAATGATGCTATTTGGAAAGAACGATCCAACTTGGTGAAAGATTATTTCGTCGATTGGGCTTATGAAGCGGGCATATCATTCAATGCAATTGAGCTTGATAGCTTTCGGCTCTTTAGTGAAGCGCTCGGTCAATTTGGGCCGAGGTGGAAGCCTCCTAGTTCGTACGAGATGAGAGAGCCATTGTTGAAGAAAGCGGTTGAGAGAACAAAACTCAAGGTGAAGCCTCATGAAGATGAATGGAAGAAGAGTGGTTGCTCGATTATGACGGATGCTTGGAGTGATAGAAAGAGAAGAAGCATCATGAATTTGTGTGTGAATTCTAAAATTGGAACGATATTTCTATCTTCCAAGGAATCTTCCGATATATCTCACACAAGTGAAATGATTTTTGAGTATATGGATCAATGCATTGAGCAACTTGGGCCTGAGAATGTTGTTCAAGTTGTGACGGACAATGCTTCAAATAATATGGGAGCGGCGAAGTTATTGCGCATAAAGAGGCCAACTATCTTTTGGACTTCATGTGCCGCACATACCCTCAATCTTATCTTGGAGGGCATTGCAAAACTACCCCGGTTCACCAAAACCATTGAACAAGCAAAGGCATTAACTATATTCATTTATGCACATCATAAGACCTTATCCATGATGAGGTCTTACACTAAAAGGAGGGACATAGTAAGACCCGGAGTCACACGATTCGCCTCTTCATTTCTTAGCTTGCAAAGCTTGATGGAAAAAAAGGCACAATTAAGGGCAATGTTTACTAGCTCCGAATGGGATGAGTGCAAATGGTCCAAGACGGTCAAGGGGAAAGCAAGTTACAACACCGTGATGTCTATTAGTTTTTGGAATGGTGTGACTTCTTTCTTGACTATTTTTGCTCCTTTGGTTAAGGTGCTTCGCATTGCGGATGCCGATAAGAAGCCGTCGATGAGATTTTTGTATAGGGAGCTTATGCATGCCAAAGAGGATATAAAAAGTGTCTTGAACAATCTTGCCAAGAACTATGATCTCATCTTAGAAATCATTGACACGAAGATGATGGGTAGATTGGACACCCCGTTGCACTTGATGGCATATCTACTAAATCCTTATTATCATTATAAGGACCCGAATCTCGTATTAGATCAAGTTGTTTCGGATGGAGTTTTTGATTGTCTTGATGTCATTTGTCATGATAACTTTGATTTGATGGATAAAATCATAAACGTTGAGTTGCCCATTTATAAGACAAAAGGAGGAGCCTTTGGGAAGCCAATTGCCGCAAAAGGTTGTGAAGTAAACGACGAGAAGTTTGATCCGGGTAAATATATATATATATAATTATATATATTATATCTTGTCTTGCCTCTTATGTGATATCTTGAAATAATATATTTGTTTTTTAATTTTTATTAGTCTTATGCTTGTTTTTTAAGATTAAATTGCTACACAATGATTATGCTTTCATATTAATTTCTCTCTCTTTTTTTTAATGCATAGCCACTTGGTGGTTAAATTATGGATGTGGAACTCCTAATTTGCAAAGAGTTGCCATAAGAATCTTGTCATTAACCACAAGCTCGTCCGGGTGTGAAAGAAATTGGAGTACATTTGAAGGGGTTAGTTGGATATACTATTTTTTAATTGTTTTGTAATTTTTTCATTATTTTTATTTTTATTGTCATACTTATATTATAAAATGTGGTTTTATTTATTTCTTAGATACATACAAAAAAAAGAAATCGGCTTGATGTTTCCCGCTTGAACAATCTAGTTTATGTCCAATTCAATTCTCGTTTATTGAACAAGCGCAAATGGAGGAAAGAAAAGGATGTGTTACTTGCTAGTGAGGCAAGTAAAGCTCAAGAGTGGATTATTCCGGGATTAGTAGACGAGGAAGATGAGGACGTTAATGGACTTGAAGTTGAGGATGGCACATCAAGAGTGAGAGAGCTTGAGGAAGAAGATTTTGAATCCGAGGAGGAGGAACAAGTTAATGAGAATGACATCGACTTTGAGTCGGATGAAGAGCGTGTATTGGAGAATTATGGAGAAGAAGAAGAAGATCCTCTTGTGCTTGGCCATATTTCTTAGATATTGGCTATTGTTTCTTATTAGTGTTTTGGACATTTGGCCATGTGGGTTGTTTTGAATCTTTGATACTTGGGGTTTCTTTTGAGATTGTGGTTATGTAATTAATAATTATTACTACTTAGTACTTAGTAGTTTTTATGTATTTATTTGGACTTGGAGTTTGTTTTGAGTTTATTTTAGACTTGGAGTTTGTTTTTAGATTGTGATTAGTACAATATTACTAACTTGTTGTCATGTGGGTTGCTAATGTGGATTGCTAATTGCTATCGTGTTTTCAATTTTCAATTTTTCATTATAATACATTAATATTATTGTTTGTATTTAAGTGTGTGGACATTTGTTATAAATTGAAATACTTTCATTTTGTAGGAAGTGAAAATAAATAAACAAAAAATAATATATTTAATATTAATTTCTAGGCCTCGCATAGGCGCTCTAGGCGCTAGGCGCTGGTCGGGCGCCTAGCAGGCGCCTAGCGACTTCTAGAACACTGCTATTCTGCAATTTAAGTAAATTTAGCTATATTGCAAATTGGTCCTTGGGTCAATCTTTAATTTATGTAAATGTTAATAAATGTACAAGAATGATGAATAAAAAATGTGCAAATACACAATAATATGTTTGAATATGCACAAATGCGCAAACACACAAATTTAATATTACTTAATATATGTTATTATATAAATAATTTGATGAATATAAAATAATGTTAATTGAAATACACATTAGTATTGTTTTCAAAAATCGAAATGCACATAAAAAAATTGGGTTGGTAGGTTGCACGATCATGGTAGAAGAAATGAACTTTATTGTCTGTGTATATGAACATTATTTTTTTCGATACATAATTTCAAAAATTTTAATAAATGTGTAATAAATTTGCAAATTCAAATTAGGGATTTAGAGTTTCATTGTTTAAAAAAAAAAAAAAACAATTAGACAATGTTGATTGACAACTTTATAAATTAATTAATTTTGAGTATTTTTTTAATTTAGTTCATGACCAAATATGTGATTAATAGAAATATCCCATAAATGAATATTAATCATAGATAAAGTGTTTAATGTTTAAAAATTTTAATCTATAAAATATAATAAATAAAATTTTATAATAACAATAATAAATACACTGCGAGTGCACAAAATAGTGTTAGATGAAATGCATTTTAACGACTACCAAGTTGCACTATAATGTTAGACTAATTGTACATATTGACCGAAACTGAATGAACTAAAGATTTCGTTTCGAATATATAAATATCTCATAAATGCATATAAATGATAAATAAAGTGTACACTATTTAAAAAATTTCAATATGTAAAACTTTAATATATAAAAAAAAATTAAAATAATAAATATATTGTTATAATATCAAATAATAAGTACACTACGACTGGACATTAGTGTTTGACGAATTTGCACTTTATCGACTATCAAGTTGCACCATAATGTTAGACGAATTGCACATGATGACCGAAATTGAATGAACTGAAAATTTTGTTTCAAAAATCACATATTTCCGGTTGATTATCTATTTTTATTTGTAAAATATCAATTATATTAGATTAATATGAACATTATTTTTTTAAAATAACCAAATAATCAAACCGACTAACTATATGAAAAATAATATATATATATATATATATATATATATATATATATATATATATATATGTATATATATATATATTGATATTGTCTATTTTCAGCTAGAGAAATATAAAATATTAAATATAATAATTAAAAATACTATTTTTATTTTTTTATGATTTAAATATTAAGCTATTTATATTATTTATAATATGTCAGTTACCGAATATTTAAGTTCGATTTTAGATTGGATTAGAACAACTTATTGAAAAATATATGCATTTTAAGTGCACGATACTGTTAGATGAATTGCACCATATTGTTAGATGAATTGCACGTTAATGACTATCGAATTGCACTTAATCGATTGAACTAATATTTTCAGTCCGATAATTTGTTTCACTTCTACGATCACGATTATTTCAGTTTGTGGTCGACATTATTTTTCAAGTAACTAAAAAAAACAAACTTACTTATAAATAATATTTTATTATTCAATTATATTTTTATTTATAATAAAAATAATACAATATTTCAATTCAGTTAACTAAAATAATTTCGTTAACCGGCCTAATAAACTAGTTATTTCAATAAACTAGTCGATTTGAGTGTTCCATATATTTTTTATATATAATTGACTGAAATATACAGAAAAAATTATATTTTATATCATATATATTATTTATTTCAACAAACAATAATATATGATATTAAATATAAAAATATAAATACTAAATATATTTTTAGTATATAAATAAATTAATAAGTGTACAATAATATTAATTATCATTATTGTGCATTTAGTATTATTTTTAATAAACTACATATCTATTTCATTAACGACTACCAAGTTGCACTTTAACGACTACCACGTTGCACCATAATGTTAGATGAATTGCACATAGTGACCGAAGTCGTGCACAATAGTGTTAATTAAATTGCACATTAATGTCTCTCCGACTGCACACATTCAATCGAACTTGACATATTTAAATTTTTTTTCGATTCGAAATTCTATATGTCGGTTTGGTTACCTTTTTTTAATTTTAAAATTTCATTTGTCGACTTTATTTTTTAAAATTTACTTATCAATATTTTATATATATTAATTTTTTAATAATATAGTATAACTATTTAACTCAGTACTTAAAGTATATTATAATTAAAGTTCTTTAAATTGCAAATTTATCCCAGTCTTTCATCTAATTTTTCATAAAAGAACAACAATCAATTTAGACCCCCAATGCAATTTCGCCTCCAATTCAATTCAGACTCTAATCGATCTACAACCTCCACAAAAAAAAAAA